GGCCTAGCTGGTTGACACTTTGCGTAATTAAAGATAAAAACATTCAGTGCAACTCCATACACTGGAACAGAGCAGGACTAATCAGTGGCTAACAGCACTTGATTGGCTGTAGCTGGCTAATGATGATTTTTATCTGACTGTTTCTGCTGTTAATGTCATCAATATTTGGTTGTACGTGTCACAGCAACTGTTTAAATTAATGTTAAATCAAGAACTAGGATGCATTTTAATGATGAACATGGAGGGAAAAAATGCAAATTTCAGAAGCCGAAATTAGACTTGGTATTGAGAGATTACTGAAGCAAAATCAGTGCCAGATATCTCAGTAATTACTAATTTTTTAAAGAAAATTCTTGAGTTTCATGTGTGCTTGTTTGCAACAGTAGGTATAACGTAGCCGTTTGAATAAAGTACATTGCCCTTTCAATAAATTGTCCTAATTTAAAAGCCTGTAGCTTGCTAATTGATAAATGTTGAATGTGGCCCCAGGTCTGGAAACGTTTGAGAACTCCTGGCATGAATACAGGGATTGGAAACTGAACACATTTCAGAACAGCTGAAGGAATTTTTGATACATAGATAAAACAGCTGCACTGCCCAGGCTGGCATGTTATGTAAAATTAGAAATAGCATTGTAATGAAAGTTAAATTTTACAGAAATATGGTTTTCTAAATTGAAACTGAAACTAGTAAGGATATCCAGGCTGTAGCCACTGCCAGCTTCAGACATCACAACCTGGTGAGCTGCTTCTCTCTTTACTTGTTTTCTTGTAGCTTGTGGTAAGCTTTTAGTTCAGGGACTTAAGAGCAAATAACATCAATTCCCAAAGAACTGGACTACACATTTTACTCACTGCAGTTTCAATAAACCATGTTTGTCTTTTTCTCAAGTGACACTAAAAGTGATTCAACAATGTTACAGTGTCTTTAAATGATCGTCCAGTCAGCGGTTTCTCCCAGATGCAGTTATAAGTAGCAAGAACACTAGTTCCAGACTGGAGGACCATGTTCGATTCCAGGCATTCTGAGATTGTACCTTGAGATGTGGCATGTGCCTTGCGAGCTCTAGCAGGTGCTTCGTGCTTCTGACATTGATGTGGACAGCTGTCTTCAGCTTTTCATCAAACCGGACAGTTGCTGCGATATGGAACACGACTCTCACTTCTTGACATAGCAGCTCGCGATCTGCTTCTCCGAGGCCCAAGCCGGGCAACCCACAGTCACCGGCCACAGCCCTCACTTTGGTCATATAGTTGGGACAGGCCTTCTTCATGGATTCAAACACCTGGACACAATGAAACAAGTCAGCCCTGACCTTATGGATGTTAATACAAGTTTGTACTGGGTGAGATACCAGGTTCTCGTGGTGACGTGTGTGAAGACGGCTGTGTTCTGGGATGTTGCACTGTGTAGTCTGGTAGGAAGTGTTCAGGGATGCTTATTGTATAATCGGGGTGATGAGAGTGTTCCCATCGCCCTAATGACTGAGGCGGTAAGTACCTCTGAAACGTTTATCGATTTTTATCAGGCAACCTGACGCAACATTGCAGAAGGCAGTCATCAATTTTGTACTAATTCTGAGCATCATCAGTCTCTGTGTGTTGTCTGGTTGTGATCAATTCTCTCCATTCCTCTTGGAAAGGAGCCAGTTTGAATACTGAGAAGGATAATATTAAACTGATCTTAGAGAACTGATAGCTGTGAATTGGATTCAACTGGCTCGGGATACAGGATTTCGTCTTCCTGTCAGTGGTTCATTTACTCGTTTCATAAGTCGAAAACACACGTGCAGAGCAACAAAGCAATAAGTTCCCACGGAATAATGCCAGTTAGCACACTGACCCCATGCCCTACGCTATTGGCCCCAGGGCCAGGGACACATGATTCCTGTTTTCGAAGACTGGTATAATTGTTCATAACAGAGTGAACACGCCAGCCAAAGTTGATTACTTAATATGCTAATTTCAATTCAATTGTTTATTATTAATGTGCTGTGTCAACAGCAAGAAGGCCAATTACAGATACAGCACAGAGACGAACACACGAACAAAGTAATGATTATAAGAATGTAACAACAAAGGGAATATAAAATACATGAGTGCAGAGGACTCCCATACACAAAGAAAAATTGCTACTAAATACATTGGTATATTTGTAGTAATAATTTAGATAAATTAAGTACATTAGATTATTGTAGGATGTAATTAAGTGTGACAATTTTCGTCTCGAATATGTCCAAGTCCCTGCAGACGACATCAGCAGCTGATGTGCATCTAGCAGAGGGACTGTTTTTGATCAAAGGGCTAAAACTGAACATAGAAAAATCTCTCAGATTCCAAGCAGGGATGCAGAGACTGACATCTTCCATAAGGGAAGGGCAGTATTTTAAACTACGGTGAACTTGGACAAGGAACAATGCATCAATGCAATATATCCTCTTGCGTTAAGATTTTGAATTTTAAATACTGCCCATTAACATGGGGGAGGAAAGGATTATAGCACAGCACTGCAAACTTCTGCTGAATGCGTTCCAGTTTGTTGTCATCAGTAGTCATGGAAAAGTATAACGTTAAGTTTCGTGTTACGAAAATATGACGTTTAGTTCATTCCGAAATAATTATTTTACAAGTGCATAAAAATAGGCATAATATTCAGAATATACTGGCGTCGAATTGCTTACTTATCCATCAGATTAGAACAGGACTCTGTGGTGTGCACAGCCATATCATTGGTACCGCTAGG